CTAAACCATAAACCCTAAAGCCCAAGCCCTTTTCATGGCTAAGGGACGCTTTAGTTCCTTGCTTGCGTGGGCTTCTTGGAATAATAACGGGTTACCCCAAACCATAAGCTAAGTATTCCAGTGGGTTAGAATGTGCATATAGAAGAGGTATATGGGTTCTTTTATTGGGCTATAACCAGAAAATGTAAGCATCGGAGAGTAAAAGGAACAGAACAGGACAGGTGAAATGGGTACGTAGGGACTTGCAGGATTTGCAATGTATTTGGTTACCCCAAGCCTCAAATTGAGGACCCTATGTCCATCATATGACTCTCGCAAAACCCCAATTCGGGGTTGTGAAGTTGCACCAGCCCTCTTACTCTAGAAACTGTCAAACTTCAGCCTTTTCCATAGTGAAACCTTCCACATTGAAGTGAAAGATTTGATATGAAGATATTGGAGTGCTTTATGCATGGCCTGGATATGATCAATACCACGCAGTCCAGGAAACTCTGATTCGTGACTTAGGGTTTAGGGTTTGCAAGTTTGGGGATACTCATTGAACGAAAGTTATCGAGCTCCCTCCTGTAGGCAGTCCGTCAAAAAGGCTGATCTGGTTACCTCACAAGCTTGGGTCTTTCTTGTCGCGCAAGACGGCAGCATCCCTGACATGAGGACGCACTAGCTGCCAACCCTACACCCAGAACTCTGAAAAAACACCAGTCGCTAAAACCAAGCCTCTACGGGTAAACGCGTAATTACGCTCCGGGCAAATAAAGGAGCAAACTCAACACTACTTTAACTTCATTGGTTGTACTTATACCGTACTTATGTAAGCGCCAAACAACTCCAAGTAAACCTTCCAAGTTCAGCCGTGCGGCGCAGAGAGTTCAAGCTGGAACGAGCGGGTACCAGGTTTTCGGAACTGCTTTATGGCAACCGGCCTGAGCGTATTGGTTTCTAGTGGTGTCATTGTCTTCGTTGATAAGGTTTTCTTACGTAGTGCCCACTGATGCTGCATAGTTTGTAACCCTAAGGGTCCAAGTACCTAATAATCATATACTTACCCCAAACCTGTACTATAATCACTATTACCCAAATCCCAAGTACCAAATTATTGGGTAAATGGACCCTTTGGGTAATGTGATTGTCTAGTGGTCTTGTCGGTGTTTTACTATATTTTCAAAGCCTCTGGCTACTGCTCAGAACTGGGACCACCTGATATACTCTCAAAACAGTAAGATCCCTACTTCTCGGAACCCTTTAACATCCACCAGGATTTCTCAGAGACACATATGTGATCTCAGAGACACATACTTGAACCGAAAAAACCTAAACTCTACAACAAAATCCCGGCACAGCTGTCTAGAGTTTCAAGTTCAGGTCACACATCTACTTCCAGCTCGTAGCGCGGAGTCTTCAGGGCTCAGGGTTTGGGGCTCAGCTGTAGGGTTCAGGTCTTGTAGTACTTTGGGGTCAGAGTGACGTTTACTTTAACGATAAAGGGTCGTGAAGAGTCCCCTGTCAAAAAAGGGTACCATGCAGCACAGCACAACCCCATCAAATGGGACACCCTGGGTACGAACCTCCTTCAACCCTAAACTCCTGATCTCCCAGGTGCGGGCTTGATGCATTTGAGATGAGTCGAGGCTTGAACAAATGAGCTTTGAAATCCCAGGTTTCGAGTACAGATTTTTGTTTAACACCCCAGCAGTAATGATTGTTTGTTTAAAGTTTAAATCCCCAGCAATATAGACACCAACCTCCCCAACCAGAACCATCCCTGATTCCGCACTGGGCCTGAAAAGCTTCCTATACGTTCAGAGTGCACTGTGAAGTGTGAGTGGGTACTGAGAGGTTTGGTAACATTAAGTGCGGTATAGGTTCCAAGGGAGTATGCTTGCTAGGCACTTGGATCCCTAGGGCACAAAGCTTAAGGGAAGAAGGTGATCAAGCACATCTGTGTGGAATGAAACAGAATACGATGCGGTAGTTTGTGGTGCGCTGTACCAACCAAGATTCTTCTTGGAAATCCTACAACCCGGTGGAGGACATACTCTTATTCTGTTGGACTCTATTTGCCGGACCATAGTTACTACTTGACTGCCTAGACCATCAGTCCAGCCGAACTAAAAGTTCTGTCCTTGCAGTTGCAGGAAGACAGTGCAACAGCGGCGGTGTGCAAATCGATACTGTCGGCCTGGGCAAACTTACTAAGCCCGCCATGCAAACAGTCAACACCGCCGCCCCGAAAACATGGACAATTCTCCATGAGATGCTTCGTATGTTGGGAGAGATTGCCAACAGTAGGTGAGGGCTGGGTGTTTAATATTAGTATGAAGGGTGTGGTCTCGGGCTTCAAGTCCTGATGTCGGGAGGATGCGAGCAGCAAGTTACAAATCGTTCAAACTTGTATCAACCAAGATACACCCACATAACCCTTGCAGGATGCGTGAAATCGAAAGCAGTAACATAAGAATGCCGCACAGTCGCTACATCGTGGTGACCTGGAGTGTATGGCACAGGCATCCAAATACTGCAAGGGCCCATTTAATCTGAACATGTCTTCGGGGTAGGCTGAACCATATCCATTTGATGCTGTATAAGGACAAGAAGGAAATGGAGACGCATTGTTCGCAAACCGTGAACACTAAAATCAACAAGTCATTCCCCACTCGCCCGTAAGCACTGGTAGCACAAAGGCCGAGCCCTGAATTTGATTCTCCACTTTACTACGTTTAGGGTTTAGGGCTGAAGGTCTAGGGAATATGGGAATATTTTATGTAGGCTGTAAAATGGATTATAGTATATTCCCTTATGCGCTACCAACGTATGAGTCTGCCAAAACATGGGTACCCTTGGGGACCGAAGCAGCTAGCGGCGAAACGCCATAAGATTGTAGGGGCCGCACTTACACAGTTTAAAGTCTTAGAGTTTAGGGCTTGCAGATTGTGTAGCGGCCATTTTAAAGAACTGCCACTTACAAGTCCATGACAAGTTCTCATTTCAGGTGCCAGTCGCCTGCTAAAGAGCTTTCGATAATTAACGGTTGGAGCCCCTCAGAACTCAAGACCGCGGACCATACATCCAGAAGTCTTGCCCCGCAAGCCCGGCTGTAAAACACATGATTATGAACCCCTTTCTTACGCTTGCCGTGACAGACGCTAGGCAATGTATTCTATCTCATTCTTATTCCAATGAAAAAACAACCCTATCTTGCATTGTAGAATATCTCCTCAATCTTCCAAATATAAATCATAGATTAAGCCCTTATTGTAACTCTCTTGAAGTAGGTTTGCCAACCCCTTTCGCAACCTGCTGGTCCCACGAAGTTGTCCCTAAACCTTCATCCCTTGAGCATGAGAGTTGAGGTTTGGGGTTTAGAGCCTGAGTAGTTCTTCCATAACCCTCACCACACCTCTTGCGAATAACCATGTAGAAGCCGCTAGGTAATACCCTGCCGTAGCCCTAAATTCCCTTCCTGCTTTGGGTACTGTAATCTAAACCATGACACCACAACAGTGACCAGAAGGGACAAAGGTAATAATATCTGGTCCCTAAGTACTATATTACTATGTAGCCCTTAATCTTGAAATTCAACTTTGAGTTTTTCAGCACTTAACCTTACAGAACAGGTCCAGTAACAGTCCAGAATGCATCAAGGTTACATATCAGTATACAGGTATACACATATGTTCATGGCGCTTGTCATTCAAGTGATAGGGCAGTACCTAAACCTTGACCCCGGAATGCTTCACAAAAACACAACAATCCCTAAGGGCCCAAGTACCTAATAATCATGTCCTTACCCAAAACCTGTACTATAATTACTCTTACCCAAATCCCAAGTACCTAATTATTGGGTACATGGACCTTAAACCCTAAACCCTATATACACACAAATATGTCCCTATATGACCCCCCCTTTTAAAGAGACCTAACTATTGGGTACATGGACCCTCTGGGTCAGCTTAAACCCGCGGAAAGGAGGCCTCCCAGCATCGAGGCAGAACTCCCTCGGGATGCCGCAATGCGTGGTCTGGCACCTCTGGGCGCGTGGCTAGCATGTAGGGTTTAGGGTCTAGGGTTTAGGGTCAGGATGCGAGGTGGCGGGGTTTGTGGAGTTTAGGCTTTAAGATTTTGCTCCTACGTGCTCATAAAACAGGTATGTTTACCAAGTAGCTTGGTATCTTTACCTGTTTAAAGGGCCCTAGGTAGCATACTCTAAGGGTCCAAGTACCTAATAGTCATATACTTGCCCAAAGCCTGCTCTGTGCTTACTAAAACCCAAATCCCAAGTACCTAATTATGGGGTACATGGACCCTCTGGGATAGCTTAAGTGCTTGGGGCTTGTGAGGCCTACAACTACAAGCTGGACAGGTTGGCATGACTTAGCCGGTGGGTCCAACAAGGCCAGTGAGCTTTCCAGGGGGCTATAATCCCCCTTGAGTAAATAGAATATGGCATACCCCACATTCTATCTACTTAAGGGTGACTGTATACCTGCCCATGATGGCCGCTGCACTCAAGCCTACTCCTTTCAATCATACTAAAGATGCTGGAAGAGTCCAGGGCACACTACATGAGTGACTCAACCCGAAACCTGCAACCCGCATTCCCCGAAGCTAAGCCCTTGACTTGGGGGTGCCTGATGCCGACTGACGGGCGGAAGTATGAGTCCTAGAGCAGCCCTGCCACGCATTCTTCCCCCCAACGCCAACGCCCCAATCTCTGAATCTAAAACTCTTCTCGCCCTACAAAAACCATTTGGATTTGACCTCAACCTGAACCTTGAGGCTCTACGTCAATAACTTGTACCTATACATTGGGTCCTAAAGTCTATACATAGTCCCTACATGGAGCCTTGGGGTAAACTCTGAACATGAGACTTTTGAACACTCGACGCCGAGTTCATTGCCTGAGAGGGTCGACACCCGGATCTCCCTTTGTGGCGGCCTGGGTATAGGATTTAGGATTTAGCGCTTAGGACTTAGGATTTAGGGTTTAGAGGGTTAGGGCTTACGTAGTCCCTCCAATGTAGTTCCCGTTTGAGTTTGGCACATTTTTCTGGTGAGGACTCGTATCAGGACGACCAAAGAGGGACTAGATTGGACCGGAGACCCTAGGTAAGGATTTAGGGTCTTGCTTCGGGCCGGAATCTCAAGGATTCCCCAAGAATGCGCCAGGTCTCTAATCCATAGCGGGACGCCAGCCGAATTTGTACAGTCACCGGTCCTGCTAAGACATCTTGATACACGGACCGACTACCCTAAATGCCAGACCGTAAACCTTGGCTCCCAGAAGAGCTTGGAAGACAACAAAATGACAAAGTGTCAAATCGGAGTAACCGCTTGGCCGGCAACACGTAAACAATGAAGCCCTTCACCCGCCACATGTAACAGAAGGACTTAAGTGGTGCTGGGAAGGTTACGGAGACGCTTACGTCGCAAAGAACACGTACCATTCTCTTCCGTATATAGCCCCCCCCGGAAGCCATATGCAGACTGTTGTAGATGACTGACTACAAAAGATAAAGATCCCGGCAACGCTTCAAATCTTTATGCCAGACCCAGCCTAGGGTTGAGGGTTAGGGTTTAGGGTCATGCCCATGCCTCAGCGTGCAAGACGCTTGCCGTGGCACCTCAGATAGCCGGTGACTTTGACAAATCCAGAGCAGTTCTCTCATAAGTACAGGAAACTGATTACAGAATATTTGGGCCCAAAGTACCTAAAATGTGAGGGGGGTTTGCAAACTTAAGGGTACCATTTTGGGGGGTCCACATAATTAGGACTATAATATATTGGAGTCTATAACAGACAGGAACCCAGTTGGGCCCAGATTGTATACCATTCAGACCCTAAACCCTAAACCCTAAACCCTAGGCATGTCGACCTTCACCCTGACCCTAAACGACTCGTGTGGTTCATTCTTCGTACTTGATC